GCTATATGGGAGGCATCCAGACGGTTCCAGACACATAATTTCGTACAACCGCCTTTCTCCCTACTTTTTTGATCCGACGATGTTTCTTTTCTTCGGTTTCTTCCTCACTTTTGTACTATTCCGCGTCATTTCATTCACTTCTTATAAGGTAGACATCTCAGAATTCTCGTGAACCGCCTTCAAAATGTTCAAAAGTGACAGAACGAAATCATTTCAGATCGTCCAAGACGCCCTAGAGGTGGCTCGTCAAGGTAGAACATGCCTTGTAATTGCCCATCGCCTTTCTACAATTCAAGACAGTGACGTCATAGTGATGATCCAGGAGGGAAAAGCTACAGACAGAGGTAGGCCACATTTTTACGAGGTCTCAATCTCCTTGGGGGTACTAAAGAGACAGAGCAGCTCACCTTTTCAGGCACTCATGAACATTTACTGATGAAGAATGATCTGTACAAACGGCTATGCGAAACACAACGGCTCGTTGAATCACAATGAGTTTTTAGTGCCAATCGATAGTGATCGATAAGCTATGGATTAGTCTTTAACATCTATCTCGTGCTTTATTCTAATGTACATATGTAACGGTTTTGATCTTACGTACTTTTAATTGGTCCTCACTATCATAATGACTTTAGTAATACATTAACAGTTTTATTAATACAACTTAAGTAACATATTAACAGTTTTATTAATATAACTTAAATAAGATATTGACAGTTTTATTAATTTGAAGAATTTATAATGAAACTTCCCTATCATTTATTTAGCCTTATCGTTGAATGACGAACAGACTCCTGCAGAGTCTCCACCCATCCGTTCGGCTGGAATGGGTTTTGAACTCGGATTTTTGTTCTCGAACAATCGCTTGTGGATAGAGGTCATCTGGAGCTTTTACTTTTATGGTATTGACTGATGGGGACCACAAAGGGTAAAAACTGCTACTGTATACCAAAACTAACACTGAGGCCAAGTTCGAGTCCGGATCAATTGTCTGGACATCACTCAGCAACCTTCGCGGGAAGATTCCCAACCATTAGAGAAATAAGGAGTGTTGGATTTTTTACCCAAACAAAAGCATGCTTAGCTGGCTGCTCCCGCTACAAGTTGTAACGAGCAGCATCAGGGTACGGGAGTTTCAGCGGATGATTACGGTAGCCGCTGCGCGATCACTACGGCGTGCGCGCCTACGACCGTGGGAACTTGGGCACAAAATTTGCTCACCCACCGAAAGTAGAAGTACGAAGTAGGTCGTAAACAAAACAATAGAGTTTTAAAATTAGCGGAGCGTGGTGGAGACAGAAGAAACGCGGGGTAGAGGAGCAAACATTTCAGTTGAGTCCACTACAGAAGTTTAGGTTGACTTCGAAATTAGGAGACTCCAGAGGAAAGCAGCAGGTAAATAACCGCAATGAATCGTAGAATGTTCAGTTATAAGACATCTTGTGAGATGGAGTGTTAAGAGGAAAATAATAGTTCATGCGATGAAATGATGGTAATTATCAAAAAAGAAAGTACCTGGAAATAAACTCGGCTGGAATGCTACAAAGCACTGTAAAGTATTTCGATGAGCACTCGTCCGAAGCATGAATACAAACGGTGGTCATTGTCCATCAACTACGCCGATTCCCTTATTCGTCTTTCTTTTTGAATGGTATGAAAGAAAATAAGGAGCCGTGGTCGGGGGTGCAGTGGTTAAGCTGCTTTCTTTACGTTCACAAAGCCCTAGGCTTGGATCGTGGAGGTTTGTTGAATTTGTTGCTTTGTAGGTTAAGCTGCTTTCTTTACGTTCACAAAGCCCTAGGCTTGGATCGTGGAGGTTTGTTGACTTTGTTGCTTTGTATTGATGTATTTCTCATGGAAAATTGATTTTGACTTCGTCAGAATACCTTCACCCTCACATAAAATTTTGAAACTCCTTAACTCAATTCCAATAGTAAGGGCTCTAGAACCACCCAAAAGAGGCGGTTTGGATCACTGACTAGAATCGCAAAGTCAATACCACTCCTTTCAATCGTTTTAGTCCGAATAAGTCTAGTAATCAAGGTCCCTTTTGAGAAGTTTTTCGTTTACGATTCACTTCCGAAATGATGAGAAGCGAGAAAGTGATTTGGGAGCTGAGAAAAGCTAGAATTCAAGAGAAGGTGTCCATTTTCCGTGAAGAACTGGACTACAGAAAATGCTACTCTGACTGGCAAATTTTGGGTTTCAAGTTGCCGAAAGCCTGTTTTTGGTGGCGAAATTAACTCAAAATTCTGAGCCTCGAAAAGAAGTTGAAATTCACCAAAAAAGCTGAATCAGAAAGAAAAGCATTAAGACAGACAGAAAGATTTATCGCTAAACGCTGTTCCAACCCACTCGGATGGAGGTTCATCGGTAAGCGATAGTCGCCCCACCCACAGATTTTTCTTTTGAAAAAAAAATAAAATTTAATATTTATATTTGTGCAAGACATAATTAGGAAATGTAAAGCATTACAACACTTGAACTTCAGTACTCTCCTCAACCATGTGTCTTGGGAACAGTATCGAAAGCATCAGACGCTATGACGCTTAGTGCAGTGGCTGGTTCCTTGCTGCATATCCGCGGAGTCGGTGGTTCGAGTTCGACCCAGAACACTGTGACCTTCTACCCTACCAGCAATGTTTAATAGGAGTGCGTCGCCTTAGTTGGAATACATCCACCCACACACCAGCATAATGTTGAGGTCTCATTAGCTCAGTTGGTTGACATTGTCTCACAGAGCACAAAGTGGGCGGTTCAGATCCAGCCAGAGGAATACAGAAAGATACATTTTTGCTAGAATTCAACAACGAAGGATGGAATTCAGAAAAGGAATGACAGAAGTCGACGGAATGAGGGTGTAATTTCAATCTCTCTTCGTTCAATTGTTCCCAACAAATCAATCGAGTAGCCAATACGTGCCCACACAGGGCCAGCCCACAGCCAATTGATCTGCCATTCCATGACCACCCATCGAGCAGTACCCTCCTGCAATGTGCACCCACCACCCTCCCCACAGCTTTTTTTCTTTGTCCCCTCTCTTCAACAGACTCCAGACTAGAGAAGTTGTACAATATGCGGTACACTTAGTAGTAGAGTGTTGGAGATACTTGCTGCGGGGTGGTTAACGGCTTGCCTCGGTGGGCACCCATCCTAGAACCGGGCAAGCGATAAGAGAAGTGAGCCTGAAAGCGAGTGAAGCCAGTTCGAAACGGGATGAAGCCCGCGCACTCGCAACGGGTGAAGCTTGTGTTCTGGCACCGGGTGAAACTGGGCCTGAAACTTTATTTGGGAGAATGCTTTCACGATGAAAAGCTGAACAATTGCAAAGAAGAGCGAAAAAAGTTGAAAATTCGATCTCATGGAAGCCGTATGGTGACGTTTGTGTTAAAACTGAAATCCTGCAAAAAATCGTTGATGAAGTCGATAACCGACGAGGTTCACGAAACAGATGAGAATCCTGAAAATCGTCGAAAAGGCCGAGATTGAAGGTAAAAACGGAAATCGATGGTGGGAAATGCAAATGGTTGTGGTGAGGAAGTGAAGAATCACGCGGGTATGTCAACAAAGAAATAATGAAAAGTTGGTGGCAAAACACCAAAACTTGATGGAATTGCAGAGGTTACTGTTGTCATAAAGGTGTGTCGTCGTCTTTTGGGTATGCTATGCATAGTGGTGGAAGGAAAAACCCCCTTCCAGAAACGACCATGCTGTTCTGTCGCTACAGAGCGGCAGCTTTTCTGCATCCACCTTTCCTTCGCCATGAACTATTTTCTTTGAGACTTTCCCTCAAGAGTCCATCAAATCAAGTGAGTAGAATAAAAGTACGGCACACATAGTAACAGACCTCAAAAAAATACTGCCATTGGTTGGGTAGAGCTGAGCTCCGTTGGTGAAACCGCTTGGCTTGGCAAAGTTTGACAATCAATAAAAACGAGAAAAACAATGATTGATTGAACAACAACAAAAATTGATGGAAAGATAGAGAACTGTCTAGAAAAAGGAGAATCTGGTGGGAATACTAAAAACTAGTAATGGGGAAGCCGAATAAAGGAAAGCGAAGGGACAGCAGGGTAAACGAAGGAATTTGGGCGGTTTCCATCGAGCGATCTGGGAGTCGGCGAAAAGGGCGAAATGCAATTCCATCGATTTTCTGGCCTCTTCTTTTTCTCACTCATGGAATGCCCAAATCACCAAATCATCGGATTGCCACAGTTCCCCCTTTCTGTACAAAGTGAGGTACTTTGTCGTCTGTACACAATCTTTCGAGCTCCAACTACCTCATAGACTCTCTACCGCTACAGTCTTTGGTTTTTTCGCCATTCCCTTCCTCTCGCCCTCAACCATGGCCTCCGTTTCGCCTGTTCCATCATTTCGCTTCACTTCGTCACCACAAACATTTGCATTTCCCACCTTCGATTTCCTTACCTTCGATCTCGCCCTTCCCAACGGTTTTCAGGATTTCATCCGTTTCGTGGACTTCGTCGGTTTTCGACTTCTCCATCGACTTTTCTCTGTTCCGCTAATGCTCGCATTTTCCACCGATTTCCTACTTTTCCTCTCTGATTTGAACTTTTCAATCGATTGCTTGCTTGGCTTTGGTCAGTTGGCTTCAGCACATATCATATCACTATTACGAGCCCTGTTTCTTCAATTTTCGGCATTTTCCCACCATTATTTTCAGCTTTTCCTCCATGGTCCAGCATTTCATTCAGAATCACAGCTCCTGCTTCCCCCAAGTTTTTTGTTTCAAACATGCAGCATTTCCTCCAAAATAACCCGAACCCCGGTTTCACCCGGGGCTTGTCCGAACTGGGTTGTTGGTGCCGA